TTTATTCTTTTTAAACGTGCATAACTCGTTTTGCTACTTAGCATAGCAAGCATTTTAAGCTAAATAACTGAGGAAATTTGTCTAAAACTTTTGTATTTTTAAAAAAACTGTTACATTTCATAGAGTTGCGAAGTAATGGAAGTAAGACAGATATTAAATTACACAAGTTATCAACTTTTGTCTAATCTCTACATTGATAATGCGAACTTATGTTTACTGAATAGCCAAATCACAGATTCTCCTCGCAACAACTTTTATTCAACGACTATCCTTCTGACCGAATTCATTGCTAACTTTCTTTTCTCAAATTTTACAGTATTTGCGTCATTTTAGCGAAAGCACATTTGATAGCGATCAAGTTGCATGTGTTTGCGAGGTACTTCATCAATCTGGTGATATCGACCGCTTGGTATGCTCAAGCTATATATTTTTAACAAACGTGGCAGCATTATCGCTGTTATGAGTTCATTTCTTAGCAGTTAATAGGTTGATAACTGTTAAAATTCAAATTATTATAGTGTTTCTGTCGCAAATTTCAATTATTTTTTCATTTCAATCCACTAAAAGTTTTAGCAATTTAGAGTTACAGCAAGATGCAACTTTATTTCAGATCAAAATAGCTTACATTCATGACTTCATACAGATTTGAATATTTGTAAGAAACTTCAAAATTATTAATAAAAGTGTTTTTGCTTCATTAGTTTTCTGAAATTCAAAAGATGCAAAAATAATAGGCTGAATTCATCTGGGCTATTCCGAATCGCGAAGATTTGCGTTGTAATGAAAGTGTTCTCAAAGCTCAAGCATTCATATGCTTTCATCGACAGAATTTCAAGGAATTGTATCGAATTCTCGAAAATAATCATTTCTCGCCTGAAAATCACGCAGAATTGCAAGATTTATGGTTGAAGGCTCATTATAGTGAGGTAACTTGGAGACATTCTATTAAATAATTATTTTATGCTAAATTTGCATTTAAGCCCTAATTACGAATATGAATTACCAGTTTGAAACTTTATTCATGACTGCATGTATTCAAAAAATGTCTAAAAGCATTCAAATCTAACAAGTTGGGCTATGCTTGAATTGAACTGTAAGTAAGTAGAATAGCAGTGAAACAATCTGATTATAGGCTGAAAAAATCCGTGGACGAGAGTTAGGCGCTGTTGGAAAGTATCGAATACGGAGGAAATTTCCATTACCCAGAACTATTTGGGACGGAGAAGAAACAAGTTATTGTTTCAGAGTCAGTTCTTGTTTCTCTCAGTTTGGCAAGGTCCCTTACGCAGTAAAAATAATAATTAACTTCTTGCTTACGTACAATTAAAATATTAATGGTACTAATAATTGATTATTCTTAAAATTTGCATAAAAAATTAAACTTTTAACTTTAAGTCAAATTTTTTCGTTTTGAAGTATTATGACACAGTTTGCAGGAGAAATCGAGATACACGTTGAAAAGTTGGTATGCGAAGAATCCTTACCCTTCTCCGAAAGAAAAAAAAGAGTTGGCTGAGGAAACCCATCTAACTGTTACTCAAGTATCAAACTGGTTCAAGAATAGAAGGCAGCGGGATAGAGCTGCTGAAAATAAAGAAAGGTAAGAGTTGAGAGTCTGAAATTTATAAAATTCAGAAAATTTTGCATTTTTGCAAAATGGCAAAGAATTATATGCATAAATTTTACCGATTTCGTTTTCTAAGCGCTCGCCATATTTAAAACATTACGCTTAATGGCTTGTGTCCACGTACTGCGTGATAAAAATGTTTGAAGACGCATACTTGAAAAGATATTAACTCACTTATAATGATTTTTTGATTGAAAATGAAGTTCATTCAGTTTCAAATGTAGTATTCATAACAACTTACTTCAATATCTATGCAAATACAATTTTCATAAACAAAGTTTTTTTAATTTTTTTTTGAAAAAAATATCTTTCAAATGAAGAAATTTTAAATTTTACGAGATTGTGGGCAGTAGATATTAATCTCAAATTTTTTTCTAATCTAATTTTGATCTGTTCGATTTTTTGCCACTCGAGATTGTGGGCGATCATTATTTATATCAATTTTCTCTCCGATATAATTTTGATCTGCTCAACTTTTCGCGACTTTTGCTATTCTTTCTGAACTTTGGAAAGGTCATCCTCAAATATTAGGCAGTTGCTTGATCATTGAGTGACTGGTTTTGTCAATCAAGTGTAGTGCATTTTATGATGAAAATTATGACTTTATGTTTTGCTCTATTTTTTTAACTTTGAAAATAACAACTTTACTTTTATACTGTTTTTTTTAAGTGTTTTCGTGTTTTAGTCATAACTATAGATAACTCGTAAATATGATTCATTTTTGAATCTCTTATCACATACGTCTTCTGCCATCACGTAAAATGGACAGAAATAGAGCATAAAATGAAAATAATAAGTCAAATTTTACTGTAATTGTATTGCAAGTCATATATTACACATTATTAAGGAGTAAGTGAAAAGTATTGAACGAGTTGAGTAAGAATTTTATTTTTCTGGTTGCTGACTAGTGCAAATACTGTAAAATAATTTTACAAAATTTTTTCAAGTTAAAAAATAAATTAATCGGCCGCTTGTTCATCATCAAGGTGATAATAATCAAAATAATAATAACACAATAATGAATGCCATTACTCAATTAATTTATAACTTAGTATTTGGAAATGTCGTCTATTTAGTAACGGTCAAAATTTGTGTCAGTTTTTGAACTCAAATATATGTAAGAAAATTGTGCTAATTGCAATCACTTATGTGATTTTTTTACATAAATGCGAAAAATATATTCATTTCTAGAAGAATTCTTTACTTGTCAGCACTATTTTATTTATTACATGAAAGAATTATTATTATCACAATCATAAAACTACATTTGTACTACTTCAAATTTATGTTCCTAAAAATTTGCATAATCAGTCTTTTTTTTCGTTTGCTTCATACAATCAAATTATCATAATTTTGAGCGCAAAGTTGATATTAGAGCATTTTTCATTTTTGCATTAGTATTATAGCTGCTTTGATTTTTATTACTTATAATAAATAATTTTTGTAATATATTCGAAAAAATGAATAAAGTTTAAAAAAAATCATTTTAATAATATTTCGTTACCATTTTGCTTCTTAATATATCCGAAATTTTCCACAGTAATACATTAGATGATATTAGTTGCTGTTAGTATCTCTACCACATTTATGACTTCATACATATTAAATTCGATTTCTTCTTCACAATAATTATATTATTTCTTCATTATGTCTATTTTTATTTCATCTTTTTTCCCAATGACATACTGTCACTATCATAATTATCGAATTCACATTCTTATCGTTATCAGATTCATTATTATCAATGTTATTATCAATTTTATTGCTCTTATTTACTGTTTTAACTTCAAGAATACTCATATACTTGACCACATTCATCATGCTAGTCTTCATAATTCGCATTTGATAATCGTGATTACGATCATCATCATCATCAGTGCTATCGAAATCGTTATAATCTCTCATTCATATTACTACAATAACAATCATCATCATCTTCAATATCACTACTATTATTACTATGGTCCTTGTTAATGATTACAGTGTCAAAGCTTTAATAGACAGACTACTTTTTACGTCAGGTAGCTTGTTGGAGTTGACTGACGTAGACAATTGTGCGTGAATGGCAGCTGTATCTGACGGACAGATTGTTCATCTGAGCAACTTCACCTCATAACTTGTTTCTGACTTCAATCTTTGAAGCGTTGTAACAAAAAGCGTTATATTGATAAATGATGTTCAATCACCAGCTAACAACACTATGTAGTATTACTGCTTCTGACAACTATCAATACCCTCTGAGACCACACTCATTCATTTTTTTACACTTGAAAAAAGTCTAACCAATGGGTTACGATAAAATTAAATTCAGAGGTTTATCAAGCTAAGGTTAAAGGTTAATAAGACAGTTAAGGTGAATTTTAGATTGCAACTGCAACAACGAAGGATTTGTCAAGTTTATCATTTAATAAGTTATTTGTAATCCTATTTTTTAATGTTCAATTTCATATCAATATTTTTTAATGAATTCCATTACTTGTCTTCCTAATTTAGTGAAATCATTTCAAAATAAAAAATTAAAATAAATTTTAGAATAAAAACATGGGAATTTCAAGCATTTATACATTTATCAATCAGCATTTTTTAATAAAACAGACTGAAAATGAAATTCTTCACAGCAAAAAGTGTTGAAAGACTAATCGAGCAAAGTCAAAGTCATATTCTATTGCATCAACTCATTTCATTTGTTTAGTACTAAGTTCGTGCTAACAAGTATTTACTTTGTGTAAATGAGTACGAGCAGTTGTGAGATGTGTAGATGAGAATGGATATTTACATATGTGCGACCCAGCGATTGCTACTTGACAAGGATGGTAACACCCAGCAGGTCACTAGTCAATATTTGCATATGTCTTATAAAAATTGTGCTTATATTTTGAAAGTAGTGAAGTAAGAATGACCAGTGGTAATGATTAGAAGAAGTAATAAGCCAGTCAAAAAATATTATTGATAAAATATATTTGAAATAAAAGTATTCTAGACTTTTCACCATAATAATAGTGTGAAGTTTCATTTTGATCTTTTTTTCACATCAAAATATTATTTATTTTTAAAAGCGCAAAAGATGAAAGATAAAAATCGAATAATTTTGTAGTTTTGTAATGCACCACTTTTAATTTTTTAGAAGTGAAAAGGTCAATAATTTTAGTAGTTTTATTTAAATCAGATTTGAAGAAGAAGAGAATATTTATTCTGAATTACAGTTTGAATGGAAAATGAAAGAAAACGAAAAAAAATTCAAATTTTGATTACTTCTCTACTTGTCAGTCAACTGTGAGCGTGGGGTCTGCAGTGAAATCAAATTTGAAAATGACGCCACGAAGACGCTTAAATGCAATGCGTTACTTTATTCGGCAACAAAACTGTCTAGAAATGGATAAGTTCTCAAGTTAGCTTTGATGGATGGATTCGATTTTACTGCAGACCGCAACAAAAGTATACAGACGCCACAGACAGCTTCCAGGCGCCTTAGAATTCGTTGTTTTTTTGGTGAAGTTTTAAAGTAGTTCATCCGTTTCAAAACAGCAACTCCAAGTAACTTTTATACAAATCAGTGGGGATTTTCTTCTGATTTTTGTTTTTTTTTGCAATATAAATAAAAAATATTTTGGTATTTGCAAACTCTTCTGTGCTGCTCATTGAAGACTAATAATTTTTATGCAAAATAAGCAGTGCGAAAAATTCACTATTTTGCGAGTTAACCTTTGATTAAAGGTCACATAGGGTAGAAAAGTTCAGTTGGTGGCAACAAATTCAACAAATTTTTTACTTTTTTATTCCACAGTTTGCAGCAAGTTTCTTTTTTGCCAGTGAATTAATTCACTGAAGCATCCTCAGTCAATAGATTGCAGTTGAAAATAATATGTTAAGAAAGTTTCTGAATTCATAGTTGGCATCTTGAAAAAATCCCATAAAACAATTATTTTTTTGTAAATGCAGTGGATTACTTCTTATCACTTAAAGTGTATTATTAATTATAATTTACAATTGCGACAACATAATTATTATTGACACTATTATTAGTTGAAACAATCTAAATTTGCTATTAACCAACAAATATTACTTACTCACTATTAAGTTATATTGGAATTGATCTGATTGCAGTACAAAGCTTCAGCGGTATGGAATGTTAGTTTCTAACTTCAGAAGGACAAATTTTTGATTCAGGAAGTAAATAATAAGCCAGCAGAATGAGTAAAATTTTGTTACTTAGATTGGAATGCTGTGCTTTTTCTTTAGATAAAATTATAGATTAAAAAACTGTCTTGATTAAGATTTTTTTGAGAAAAGTCAGATTAATTTTTTCAGTGCTGGATCAGGAGAAAGAAAAGAAGATTCAGATATATCGAGTGATGATGGGATCTCTGAAATAAAGCATCAGAATCAACAATCTAGTCATCATCATCATCATGCGCATCAACATCATCATTTACAGCAACACCATCATCAACATCAACAACAACAGCAGCGTCAACATTGTTCACAGATGCTTTTGACTCCTACAATGCCAATGCCAACTGGGATTCAGGATTCAAGCACACTTGCTTCAGCTTATAGCAATCAACTTGCCGTAGCAACTGCACCTGGATTCAATTTCGCTGCTTACAATTCTCACCCATCTATGCAATATATTCCCGGTACTGATATGCTTCATATGACCAGTTATCAATCCTTGTGATCAAATAATTGATCATTACAAATGATTACATCAACAAACTTATCGGGTCCATTTTATTAAGCAAATTTTTCTTGATTGCTAGAGTTTTAATAGCTTTTATTATTTTATCCACCATGAATTTTTTAACTATTTGCTCAAATAAAAAGCAACCAAATAAAAATAAATGCTAATCGAATTATGCTCTGAAAAGGAAATAAACAATTTCAGTGAAGGAATGGTTACTTTTTTCAAAACTGTTTAATAACAAAAAGTATCGCTTCAGAAGGTAAGTAAATTTCATGGAAAAATTTCTTGCTGTCTGAAGCAGTACTTTTGTTACAATATATTACTTAACTGAATAAATTTTTCACAAAAATAAGGTTAGAAATTACGCTGAATAACCGGAATTGATAATAAGTTATATTATTTAATTAACTGATTCTTTGACTAGTCTTAGCTGCTTATTAATTTACATTTAATAATATCTGTATTGTGATATTTATGTTATTTGTGACTTGAATTTATTTAATGCTTTGGCTTAGTCTTAAGCTATTGTGATTTTTTTAGTTCAATGAACTTGCAATCCATTATACAATATTTTGCTCTTGTTGTTTAGAATAGAAACGGGAATTACTTAAACAAAGTTATCTTATCAGATAGCGCTAAAGAAAAGCTTCCAAAATTGCTGCTTAAAAATTTATTAAATAATATTAAAAGAATTATTCATTCTGCTTGCATAGTCAAAAGACATCGTATTGTGTAAATTATGCCATGCTATTATAAAAAATGTATTAAATAAGTACGGATATTTGATAAAATTTGAAATTTTTGATGGCAAACTCTGAGAGATTGACTCACTGAAATATGTCGATTTTCGTTTGTAGCTTAAGCATGAAAACTTTTAACTTCAGCTTAGAAATTGATGTTTCAACGAAGTTATCTCTGAAGTGCTTTTGTTTTTCAGCTAATACTGTGAGAAAAACAAATACTTGCAAAACTTTGTCTTTTAGTTATTAGAACGTAGTACATACAAATCAACGTATGATCAATCACTTGTAACGTGGTAAATAAGATTAATCATGACAATACTTTGAAATTGACTTTTTTACAAGAAATTTCAGGAGAATTTCCCGATATTCATTCAGAAATACATGCGCAATATAGAACTTGCGTAGT